ATTTCCTAGGGCTCAGCTCCAGTGTGACCCCTCTATGAAGCCTTTCTCCATCCTACCCCTTTCCTCTACCTCTCTGTCCAAACAAAATGCCAGCTCCTTATCCCCTCAGATGACTCATACTTCCTGGCACTGTTTGATAGCTTTCTTTGTCTAGCCTCAGCACCACCTCCTGGAGGGCAAGGAATGAATCTTATTTATTTTACATTCTTAGCACCAAGAGCATTATCTGGAATGTAGTGAATTTTTGTTGAATTAAATAACATATTTAAATATAGTTCCAATGAGGAAGTGATCAAGATAGCATCACTTCCAGAGAAACCCAAAAAAGGCACAAAATGGGACACTGAAGTAGTCACAGAGGAGAATCTGCTGCAAAAGCAGAGCTGACTGGCAGCCCAGCTTCCATCCCTTGGAACCACCATGGCACTCACACAGAGGCCACGCTTCTGCTGGCTTCCCCCAGCCGAGACAGCATGGCGTGGGTACCAGAGCCCATCCACTCCTGCCTGAAGTAGGATTCCTGCAAAGGGTCACCCTCACGTGGCGACTTCCCATCAAATCTGGCCGAACCTTTGTCAGACTGCTGATGAGGTCTGAGAGTCTTCCTACCTAATATTTCCATCCCCTCCTCCTCTCAAGAGTGTTGGACCTGCATCATGGTCTAAAGAAAGGTTCTCACCACTTACTCCTGCTTTCTCCCCTTTTATTCTTCACAGACATTTCCCTGAATAAATATTTTGTGCATTTGATCCCATCTTGTCATCTGCTTTAAAGAGGACCCAACTGACATAGACATAGAAATAGACAAGGCCAAGCAGTTGAGAAAGAAAAGTTCTGTTTAGAATTGCAAACAATGTCCAGCTGTCTCTGGCTAAAGTCTCATCTGTATCTTAGAGCCCAGAAGTTGGTAATAAACTTCATAAGTAGCCTAGAGTAGGCCCAATTATTATTTATTACATGAGTGATACATGCATACAAGTGTGCATATGCTGAGGTGACCCTTGGCTGTAAATGTGTGCAATTCATACCCTAGAGTGGATTCCCTTCTCTGAAGGTAATTTTTGTTGCTGTTGTCTTTGTGTCTCAAACTAAAAAGAATTATTTTGAATCTTTTAAGGAGGGATAAGTGAATCAGTTTGGATTCAAGTGGTATTTAAGTAGAAGAGGTAGGAAATCATTATTTCTTTTAGGAAAGGAACTGCCTTTGTTTAGAAAAATGTCCCATGGGCCTCTTTGGCAGGAGGAGATGAGGCCCAAACTCTGCCGTCCCCAAGACCAGAAATCAAGATAAAGCCAAGACTCTCTGCAGAAGGTAGGATAAGGAGTTTGGGAGTAGGGCAGAAATTGAAGAGTCCGGAGGGGTCGAGAGGGCATGCCCAGCAGTGGGGTGGACATGGGGTCTGCAGAAAAGGGACCAGTGAGAGGTTCCCAGGGGCAGATCACTCATACTGCTTCAGAAGTAACCTGCTTCCATCTCTCCAAACCTTCCAGAATTTACCACCACTTAAGTGGCCTGTATAAATTAGGGGAGGGGAAAATCAAGATGAGAGCAGAGAGAATACAACAGCCTTAGGAGGTGCTCCCCAGTGAGGGTCCTGGAAGAGCAGAAGGTCAGAGCTGCAGCTGCCATGAGGCAGGAAATTCTGACAACTCTCTGAGCCCTTGAGGCAGCACTATTGTGTACAGTGCGACAAGTTGGGTCTGCTCAACATTTAAGGTTTAAGGTTTAAGAAGTGACGTCCCGTACCAGACACCAGGTACCTGGTAATTTACCCACTACATAGCATCCTCCCAGTCTGTCACCATTTAGGCAAACATTCACACTATTATTTGCATTGAACGTTCTTGTAAATACTTATCATTGTACCATACATTAGTTTCAAGGTGTTTTTGGAAGTGCAAGGCAGCGGAGTTTTACAACTATGTAAACAGTGGGCAAAAACATGTTAATTTTTTACTTGTTACCCTTTGTGAAGTTAGCTTTTTATATTTCTGCCAGCTTTCCTTTGGCTATAATGTGTGTGTGCATGTGTGTGTGTGTGTGCACATGTGTGCACATGCACATGAGTGATAGGAGGATTTGGGAGAAGAAATACCTTTGCAGAGCCTTGAACTTCAGCAGCTATTACACAAAATAGGGATGAATCCTAGCATCCCAGAAGAGGAACGGTGGGGTTGGCCAAAGGCCACTGAGGAGCCCAGGACCAAAAGGGACACATGGAAAATTTCACCTCCAGATGTCCTTGGGAAAACCTAGAATGACCAGCAAATAACCTGGGACCTTGGGAAAGTTCTCTGCACTTCAGCTGCTTCTCCTGAAGATGGGGATGGCAAGGCCCCTATTTTATAGAGTATTGTCAGAATCAAATGTGTAACTATGTAGAAAGTTCTTAGAAGAGTGATGGCACACTATAAGCAAAATGCATGTGTTAGGAAAAACAAAAATGAAAACATGAGAGGCAGGCAGTCGCTTCCTGAAAGTCCCTTTCAGAGGAGCAGGCTGTCACAGAGTCGAACGCAGTGAGCTCTTAACATCCAGACTCAGAAAAAAGGAATGAAGTTCAGCAAAAAAAATCACATGTGGAAAGCAGATCACTTATGTTTGGACTGGCCTATCCTTTCAAACTGAATAGAGCTCCTGTCTTAAGGGAAGAAAACATTTGATTTAGGGTTCTAGAAATAAGAATATTTCGTAAAAATCTACTGTGAGAAATAGGTAATTTAAGTAAATAATTCATTTAAAACTATTAAAGCAACCTGCAAACTGCCCATGAAAATGGATGCCGTTTTAACAAAAAGGTTTTTAACAGATGCATTTTTAAAGACCAAATTCTTATAAACCTCTTTGATCCTTCTTATTACTTGAGTAAATTTGCAGATAATCCTCATACTCATATTTTTATCATTCACTATTCATGATTATTAGGATGCTATAAGAAAGTTCCATGAGGTATTCATAGTAATTTATTTGTAAACATTTATTAAGCACTTAATATGCATTAAGCATTGTGCTAATCTATTTACAGAGAAATATAGGGTTTTAGAAAATACCATCTATACATTGAGGACGTCAAAGTTTACATGTTTATCCAAGACCTCTACCCTGAACTCTGTGCTCATATGTCCTACTGCCTACTTGATATCACCAGTTTGACGTCTGGTATCTCAAATATGGCATAATAGAAACAAGCCTGCTCCTCCCACAGCATTCCCCATCCCAGTCAGTGGGTCTGCATCCTTTCTGTTGCTCTGGCCAGAGCTCCAGAAGTCATCCTTGACTCCTCCTGCTCGTACGGATACTCATTCCTGCTCAAAGCTGGCCTCCTGCTTTATCCAGGAGTGCGCCCTTACTGGCTTCAGCCAATCAGCACATTCCACTTCCCATGCCACAGGCCAATCAGAGGGAATCTCAGGGATGTTCTTTGGAAAGATAGGAAGGGAGATGTACTTTCTTTGATGTGAAAGAGGAGGTCTCTAGTCCCAGTTGTGGTAAACAGGCACAACAGGAAGGGAACCCAGCCTTGGTATAAAACCGTCATCATACAACAGAACATGCGAACAGAAAGAAAGTGGCTCTTGAAGAGGCCATTGAGTTTCTGGATCAATAACCTGAAGCTTCTCCCACTTCTGGACTTTCCAATCATGTGAGCCAATATATTTCTGTGTTGTTTAAGCCAGTCTGAATTAGAGCTTCTGGTTCATGCAGGTGAAAGCACCCTGATTAATATAGATTGATCATCCTTAGAACAAATCTTCATGTGTTGATCAACCTGCATATACTTTGGGGAAACATGGAGTGAGAAGCATTTTCTTGCCTCTGTGACTCTGTCCCATCTCTCTCTGAAGTGCTCTTTCCACCATGTCTTCTTGACAAATCCCCACACAACCTTTCAGACTTAGCAAAGATGTCCCTTTGTCTTTTAGGATATTAATGATTGGACATAGTCTAATGTAAAATATCTGACTCCAGTGGAATCATTCATTCTTTCCATCAGGGAGATGGTCATCCAGAAAATATTTATTTCTTCTGCTACTACTACTACTGCTACATGTAGTAGCAGCCACATGTAACATGCAAACCCCTGAAATAATTTACAAACAGGATATACAGACAAGTAAACAAGCAGCTGCAATATGGAGAGATCAGTGCTAAGATGGAGGAAGTCCTGGGAGCAGCAGGAATGTAGTGGGGTAGCTTCGAATCCAATTTTAAGCGGTATGTGTAACAGAAGTGAACAAAGACTTCCTGAAAGAAGTGATGTCTACAGAGATTTAAGAACCAGTAGGAGTTAGAGAGAAAGACAAGCAAAGGAACATCTGAGGGAGAAGAAGAGTTTGTGCAAAGGTCCGGCAGCATCAGAGATCAAGGCCTTTGGTGGGAACAGTGCCATTATGTAGAGTTCCAGATGAAATGTGGTTGGAGATGATGCTAGAGTCCTACCAAGCCTTTAGGGGCCTTGCAAGGCTCACTAAGCAATGTGGATTCTGTCCTGAGGACTATTGGGAGGATCTTTGATCTGTGATTTAGAAAGATCGCAGAGGCTGCAGAGAGGTCTGCAGAGAAGTCTGCAGAAGGATCTGGGGGAGCCCCATTGGGAACAGGGAGGTCAGTTAGGAAGCATCAGATCTGCCCAGTCCTCATCTCCTTATGTGTCATCTCTCCTGAGATGTCTGATTAGGATCAGACATAGAACTTAAAGACGATGGAAAACTTGGCAAAGGATTGGTATCTGCCATGAGTGTGCACTGGAGGGGGTCCTTTTGGACCTGGAAGTCTGGCCTTAGGTGGTCAAATGACATCAGTTATGCCAGGAATGGCCATGATGCCAGTATCAAGTACACAATATTCCTAAGCTCAAATGCCACATAATATATAACAAAACACAGCAGTTATTTGTGGTTCTCCAGACCAACTCTGAATTTTGGATTTTAATCACCTTAACAAAACATTCCATTGAAAAAAATGGCTATGAAGACAAAAGAACAGATTGCTTAACCACGAGACTTTATTAGTAGTAAGACTCCACGGTCATGTATCAGTGGCTCCTAACATAGGCTGAGAGTGAGCAGAACGTTTTCTCTCACGGTTTCTTGACTACAGAAGTTGAACCTGTGAAGAGAAAAGTCAGTTCTAGTAGAGGGTGGTGTGCTGAGCATGTCCAAGAGCCACACACTGTGCCTGAGATGAGCTACTGGCCAAGGGAAAACATCTTCTGTGTAAGGGACTGAAATCTCCTTCCCAATTTTGTTTAATGGCTGTCCAGTTGCCGAGTGAGGAGGTGTCACTGGACACCCCAAAGGACAGGGAGGGTTCATTTGTCACATCCTAAAAGCACTTACTGAAAACTTGGCACATTGTCAACCAAGGTAACTGAGTAAGATTAGGGTCAGCAGCATGATAAGAAATCAGCCAGAGTGAAAATTCTGATGCCCTGGTGTTACATTCACTAGGTATTTTTTGTTTTAATATTGAGCAATACTTAGTTTGCTTGGGAGCTAATTTTCTGTAATAAAATATATAAGCACATGTAAAGTGCTTGACACACAAAAAGTCTACAGGTCATGCTCGGCTCATCGTCATTTCCCTCCCTGTGGTCTCGCAGCTTCCACACTTGCCAATGGCAAATTAAAGTTTAAAAATTAATATTGAAAAGGGACACAAGAAATAAAGAGCACACAATATTTATATATGAATAAAAGTGAACTGAATTTGTTATGTAGTAGGTAAGAATTTGCTGGAGTCAAATTTCCAGCATATAAATTCTGGCACCACACCTTCATTCAGTTATCTGTAAAACGGGATAATAATAATACCTACGTCCCATCACAACAATCAAAAGAGCAAACATATTCATTACCCCAACATTTTCACTTCCTTTTTGGGGGGCAAATACCTAAGAGGGGAATGGATGAATTATAGGTAGATGTACATTTGATTTTCTAGGACACTGCCAAAGTGTTTTCCAAAGTATATTATTTTATATTCCCATAAACAATGTATGAGAATTCAAGATTCTTCACATCCTCACCAGTACTTGGTATTGTCAAATTTTTAAATTTTAGCCACTTAAATAGGTTTATAGTGGTATCTCATTGTGGTTTTAATTTGTATTTTCTTAATAACTAATGGGTATATCTTTTTTCTGTCCTTTCACTTTTAATCTATTTGTGCTTGTATATTTAAAGTACATTTTATGTAGGCAGCATGCAGTTGGTATTGCTTTTTTAAAACCTAATTTGGCAATTTCTGCCTTCTAAGTGTTGTATTTAAATCACTTTCACTCCATGTGATTGTTGACATGGTAGGGGTAAGTCTATTCTCTTGCTGTTTGTCCCCTGTGTTCTTCCCCCTTTCTTTTGTCTTTGTTTAAAGTTTCACTTCATCTCTTTTGCTGGATTATTAGCAATAGCTTTTTGTTTTATTATTTGAGTGGTTGTTTTAGAATTTTTGCCATCTATTTTTAACTTACCACATTTTATTTTCAAGTGATATACTTCCGTGAATACGGTATAAGAACGTTACAATAGTATGTTCTGCTTCTGGCCTGCCTTTACGGCATTGTTATCATATATTTTACTTATATACATGTTATCCCCCAAAAATTGCCATTATTTTTTAAATAGTCAAGTTTTTTAGAGATTTGAATTATAATATTTAAAAATCTCATGTATTTTCAATGTAGTTACAATTTCCTGTGCTTTAAGTCCTTTCTGTAGATTCATTTCCAATCGGTAACATTTTCCTCTTCCTGAAGACTTCCTTTAAGATTTCTCATAATTTTTACCTGCTGGTAATGAATTCTTTCAGTTTTGGTATGTCTGAAAAGTATTTCATTTTCGTCATTGAAATATATTTTTGTGGGTATAGAATTCTAGGTTAATAATTTTTCCTTTTCAGGAATTTAAAGATGTTGTTCTACTGCCTTCTCATTTATGTTGATGAGAAATATGATGGGACATTTATTTAATATCATATAGTGTGGATTTTAGCCTGTTAGCTGCTGGATAATTTTGTATTCCTATAAATTTCCTCAAGCTCTGTTCTAGGGTACAGGTATTTGGAAAGAGTTTGATCCTGTCAGGTCCTGGTCGATCTAGGCTAATTATTTCCCACTGCTGCAGGAAGACCTTCCTAAACACTCTACCCAGCGTTTCTTTAATGATGAGCTTTTCCAGCCTGGTGAGAAGAAACGGGCACTCTTCCCAGCCCAGCAAGAGAACTGGGCCCTGTTCTTGCTAATTGTTCCATGGATGTTCCACTAGCCTTGGCTGCTTTCCTCATGCATATGTGATCAGCATGCTGATGAAAAGTCAAGAGATTTTCCAGATCTCTGAGATTCTCTACCTCCCTCGTCTCTAGTTCTCTGTCCTGTGAAGTCTAGTTGCTTAGGATTTTCTGGATTCTTAGCTCTGTTTCCTCCACTCGGGGAGCCCACTGGGCTCTACCTGAATTATTCCTCCTTGTGTGACATCCTGGAAACTTTCAAGGCAGTAAGTTGGGAACAGTGGTAAAGGTCCACCTTATTGGTTTCTTGTCTCTCAAGGATCACTTTCCTTTATTGCTTGAAGTCAGGTGTCCTGAAAATTGCTATTTTATCGATTTTGTGTGAATTTTTGGTAGTTCCAGCTGGGAAGATAAATCTGGTCTCTGCCGCCCCATCTTTGCCAGAAGCAAAAGGCCCCTCTCTGGGCTTTTGCAGATTGACATGATGACAGGAGAAGCATACGCTTTGCCTTTATACTCAAAACACACGAGCTAATATTGGTATTGGTATGATTTTCAGCATCATCTGCTCACTTTTTCTGGTAGCTCACTATGGTAAATATCCTTTGGCTCACACACACTTCAGGAATGGTTCAAACCAAGGGTTGACCTTTGTCTTGCTCACTAAGAGCAGAACAGCCTATTTGTATTCTCTGATGAATGTTTTCCTGATAATTTAAGTAGCAGTTTGGCAAACCCAGGAAGTTTGGGGAGAGAGAGAGACAAATTAAGCACATATATAGCACAAGGCACAGCTGCTAAATGAAATCATTCTTTTCACCCTAGAATCATGAAACCAGATTTGCATTTTAACGGGTCACTTGTATCAGGAAACTCATCTACACATCTATCAAGGCTGTTTTCCTAAGTTAACAAAAGGTCAGGTATTAGGAAGTAACTGTTGATGGAGTGCGAGAGACCCCCTGCAGGGCTCTTAACAAGTAGACATTCAGTGGGAACAGAATTATAAATATGGCTCAATACTTCAGATTCTTTGTATTTCTATTACTTACTCTTTTCCATCATTTCTTTCCACCTTGACCTGAGATGCTCCCACTCTGGGCAGGGTTGGGTTTATCACATAGTTGTACCAAATAAATTTAACCTTCTGTACATCTCCAACATCCACATCTGAGTCAAATTCATTGGAATAAGTATTGCCTGATTTCAGAGTGCCCCTTGGGAGTTGAGTTAATAAAAACAGAAATGAACATACATAAATGTACATATAAATATGTACATATATATGTGTTTCTAAAACGAGCTTATAATGTACTATCAATCAGCTTACTAGACATACATTTACCATTCTAATGTATTAAATAAATGTAGACATATATGCCAACTTAGTGGTAATTCACTTGCCATCAATAACTCATATTACTTTAAAGTCATCTTTACTTCTATGACACTTTAAACATGGCTTGGTTACAGTCCTTCACAACTTAATCAATGATGACATTGTTCTATCACCTTTCATAGTGGGCAGAATAATTATTTACTGATTATAAACCAAAGTAAACATCAGTGGTTTTCTCAGGAAAGAGCAGAGAAAAAATATAGAAATAGAATTCTGAAATGTAGTAAGGTGTAGGAGTAAAACATCTCTTCTTTTTAATGGCATGTAATAGGACTATAACTCTGGTAATGAATACAGTGTTATAATCACAACATACAGTATATGCACAAAGTATTCCAACATTTAGGAAGCTTATAATATTTTACTCACTCGAAAATTTCATACTGCTTAGAGTTTCCTTTATTTCCAAACAAAGAAACTAGCACATGTCCTGTGACCTTCCTTCCGGACAGTGTCACAGTTACCTTATACCTCCAACCTGCGTGGGGGAAAATATTTGCAAAATGTCAGCTTGTAGAGGAGATACACTGGACACGGGCTAACTTGGTTTCTACTACTGTTGGATTTTGAATAATTTATATATGGTTTGAGTAGTTCTTCTAATCAAACAGTCATAGATATTCATTTATCTGATGTTGTGAGGACAGGCACTGGGGGAGGGAAGGAGCACAGAATCTTCCCCAAGTCAGTAGACTTCAGGCCAAGGGGCTAAGTGATACTTTGCTTTCAATTTCCACCTGATAATTTTTTTAATGCTATAAGATCTTCATATTAAAAGGTTGTGGAAAATCAGCAGTGTGGCATTTCCATCAGTTTCTTTCATTTTCACAGATCATCAAATTTTAGAATAGTGCCATTTTTTGTTCTATAGTCCATGTTTATTTTAAAAACTCTATATAATTCACTTTCCATTGCCACTGGAAATATATTAACTTTTTATGGTAACCATTTTATGACACTAGCCAATAATTACCAGTTTTTGCTATTTAGAGCTCTCCTGGACCCAACTGGGGAGGGGCTAAAATTTGGCTTTAGTTTTTACAATGCAGCTAACCCCACTGACTTCCACCCAAATAGTTTCTGTCCTCTATAACCCAGAAAAGAAACCTGGAGCCTGTCTCCATGCCTCACCACCCCTGCTTCCTCTAGGTAAATTCCCATCATCCGTGGAGTCTACAATCCTAAATATCTTAAATCTGCCAGTCCCTTTCCAATCCCACAACCTCTGCCATCTCTATCTCTGGGATTACTTTTCTGCTTGCACAGAACTTCAGAATTTTGTTCATTGAAACTTTGGACTGAATGTGAAGAGGTTGGAGCAGAAAAAGCCTTCTGAATTCAGCACCAGAATCAAACATGAAGAAATTAATTTCTGTATCATTGATAGCTCAAGCTCCAAACTCCATTCTGCGGTCTCAGTTAACCAGAGTCACATTGAGCATGGCATTTGAGTATTTTTCTATTTTGGGGAGGGGCGTTTAAAACTTCTGTATAGACAAGCAATTTTACACATTTTCACTTGACATGATAAAATACGTAACATTAAGAACTTAAAGCAAATAAAATAGACTTACGTGCAAAATCGCTGGCCTCGCCAGTGTTTAAATAGAATTTCTGGCCCACACCATTTGTTTTCCCAGGAAATCTATCAGCATAAAAACCCATCTGTGGGCAGCCTTCACTTGAACAGGGGAAGCACTTGTTCTGGGGAAAAAATAAATAAATCAGGAATGAGGATGTTCTTTCTTTATTGGTGTGTCATCTTTTTCCACGCGTTGTTGCAATTCCCACATTCTAAAGTCAAATCTATTCTGATGGTAAAAGAGGACTTTAACAGAGTCTCAGCAAAGGTTAAAAATGCAACTCACTATTTACAATGATAAATCAGCAATTTCACTGTTAAATAATATAATACTAACAGAAACACTAATAAAAATCACACAAAGCCCCAGCTCACCCAGGACATTTATTGCCTGCAGATAGTTAGAATTTATTTTAGAAAGATTGCAAAAGGTAGAACAGGAGGTGGTAATCAGCTTCTGCTATGCAAAATAGGACCCATTAGGAGGACCACACACTCAAAAACTGAATTTCTTTAGCTCCTAATTAGCATATTAAAGTCAGAAGCGTTCTAATCTCAGAATCTCCCCAATGTGGAGCAAAAATGCCCCAGTTGGCCATTAAGGTTTAGCCATGAGGGCATGGAGGAAATGATATCTTGTAGGAAAAATGTTCTCTCTTTTGGGGTCAAGGAACTGTGGGAAGGAGAGAGAGAGAGGGAGGGTCAGAGGGACAAGCGCAAACATCAGGATTCCCACTGTGGAGGGGCAAGGCTGCCCGATGGTGGAGACAAGTGGGGGACCCCTGGGTCAGTGGACCACATGGAGACCCGGCTGAGTCTATGGGTCTGCATTCAGCAAAAGCTAAGGGGAGACTGAGCTGGAAGAAATGGCCAAAGCTCTCTGAGGGCACTGCCTGAGCCAGAAGAGCAGATGTGCCCACACGTGATCTGCAGATGCCAGCTGTGTGCCCGTCAATAAGGTGGACCCCCAAGGCCTCCCCTCTGCCCTGCACACACACTGGCCACCACCATGATAACCGTACCCAATACCAGCATCAGGAGAGGCTGATGAGGGGTTCAAAGCCTGAGCAATCTGCAAAACTAAGGATTTTTTTCTTACAAAAGTGGCTGAGCATCACCTCAAAGGACTATCGATATTACTGGATCAGATTAAATTTTAACTGGATGAAACCTAAAGCTTCTCTGTTGGTTCTGCCCACTGCAGAGAGAAGGGGAATTTGAGAAGAAAATAAAAACAAAGTTAGACCAAAGAAGGGAGAAGGGGTCTTGTATACAAAAGCTGTACCGTGAATAAAATATACAGCCACCTCTACACACACATAATAGCCAAAATTTGTTGAATGCTTATGATAATATTTTAAATTCTAGGCTAAGTGATCAGAATGTGTCATCTCACTAAATTCTCCCACCAAATCTATGGAGTCTACCATTACTATTTATATTTAGACATGAAAAAACTGCCTTAGAGTAGTTAGGTATCTTGCCCAAATCATGCAACTATTTAACAGTGAAACCAGGATTTGTATCTCCATCACTAAAGTGTATCTTCTTAGTAATTATGACTTCATGTGGTATGTCACTTAAAATTTCATTAAGTGACATAGGTCATACATTTTTATTTGAAAAAATTTACAGTGAAAGGAAAAGCAATTTAAAAACTCACAGATAATAGATATGTCCTACGCAAGATCACATTTAAAGATTCCAACCACATGCCCATAATTATATACTTTTATAACATCAACATTTAAGAAAAGTTTTCCATATTCATTAGGATCCCATAGTCATAGCTCAGATTACCACAGACTAAATTTTTTGCTTAGGATTATTTCTAAAACAAGTTTAAACATTTACCTGATACGTACAGAAGTGATAAAGAATAAGGTAGACATGGGACACTTCAGTTTGTTAGCCCATTTCTCTGAAGTTCTCCAATGCCTTATCATTATGAAAATAAATATCTAGGATTACAAGTATAAATAATATGGGATAATATAGTGACATTCACTGAACCCCTGTCATGCACAGTGAACCATACCAGTCATGAGAAGCAATGGCTACAAAGCTCTTTAGGTGCAAGGTGGAGTCTACTTACTGCAGAGAAAACCTTGTAAGAGGCACAGGAGAATCCAGCAAAGCCACTGGGGTTGAGGATGCTGTCCGAGTAATACTTGTAGCTTCTTAAGTGATTACAGGCCACAAAGTCACGTGTTCCTTTGAAATCAGACATGATTATGCATCAGCAAGAGTTTATTTTTCTAAGTTAATGTCATTCTCAGAATGTAGTTGTTGACTAGATTTCTCTAATTAGTATAAACTCATGGCAGTCACAGAACAGTCATTTATAAAGTGTATCTATGAGTTGTGATGGAATCAATACTGATTTAGCATTCAAATAGTTATGCTATAGTTAAGTGAAATAGAAAAATAACTTTAGAAGGAAAAAATTGGTCTATATAGATAAAAGTGTAACTTAGTAAAACATTCCCTGAATTTGGAAAGTTGACTATAAATACATTTTCTTACTTATAGCTCTTTATGCCCACTAACCCCAAATGTAAAGCCTGTATTTTGGGGATACAATTAAAGGTCCTTTGTTGTAGAAAAGTGTAAGACTTGTACAATACCAAAATATTTAGCAAATTTAGTGAAATACAAATTGATAGAGCCTGGGCAGGAGTACGGCCATTTTGAATAAGCCCACCCACCACCTCAGCGAGACCTGGGTTTCATTTTACTTAGGCTACAAGCATTTTCCCGAGGACACATCAGCAAGCCACAGCCCACCTCTCCCCTACTCATCTCCTCAAAAGCCTGCCAAAAAACCTAGCCATAAAAAGCCACTTAGCCTGTAAGAGATGCCTTCTTTGTTCTGCTCTCCAGAACAGAGGGGTCCCTCTCAGGTTTAGCAGTAAACCTGCTTGGACTGTGGAGTTTGTGTCCCTTCTTTTCCTTTTATTTGGTGCCGAAACCCGGGTACGGGAGCTGAGAGCAGAAGCTCTTTTGCAACCTGGGAAGCAGTGGGCAGTGGCCGCTCGTTGTGGCAAACTCTAGATCCTGAGAGCCCCCTGGGTGTCACCCCATTTCCCTTCCCTCCCTCACCCAAGACACACCTTGTGAACTAGAGACCAGGAACCGTCTTGCCAGACATCAAGCTACACATCCACCACCAGGTACTAATCCATCCCTATTCTCAGGAGGGTAAGATTCTGGCCTCATTGGCTTTCTCCTGTGCCCAGGGAAAGTCAACCACCATCCCTTTTCCCCTTTCCCTTCCACAACAAAAGGGGGTGTCCTGCGCTCTAAGTGGGGGGATGCTTCCTTCCAGTGGCAGGACAGTCTCATCGGGCTCCAGGAGGCCATGGACTCGGGTGGGAAGCTGGCGGCAGGGAGACGTCCTGGCGGCCTGTTTCCCAACTCAGTCACCCACAATGGGCAACTCTCCCTCAAAACATCAGGCGACACACCCTCAGCTGTCTCCTATGTCATCTTTTCCCCAATTGGGATTACAAGGAGACATTAAACAAACAAACAAAAACTGATCTTTCACTCCACTTCCGTGTGGCCCCAATACAAGCTCCATAACGGGTCCCACCGGCCAGCTGAGGGCATGAGCACCTTCGATTTCTGAACTCCCCGAGACCTTGGTGACTTCCTCCAGGGGACTGGCAGGTGGTCAGAGGCCCCCGGGTCCAAGCCTTACTCACCCTCCACGAGCAGCCTTCCCTTTGTTCCTCCCTCTCCCCCCTTCAAATCCTTCTCCCGGAACAACCCCCCT